CAAAACAAGTTTCCACGTATTTATTAGACACATACATTTCTTCGGGAAAATTTTTCTCTCTCCTATAAATGATTTTCTATTACAGTTTAGTATTTATTTCATTAAGTGTTTTTTTGTTTGTTTGTTTGTAGATATGATGTTTCACCAAATTGCCCAGGTGGGCCTCAAACCCGTGGGGTCAAGCGATCTGCTGTCCTCAGCCTCCCAAAGTTCCGGGATTATAGTGTGAGCCACCCCACTCAGCTTTATCTCATTAATTTGTAAGGCCTTTTGATATAGTACAATTGTTAACTCTTTAGTGTATTACAAGTATTATTCTGGTGGGATGCTTACGTTTTTGCTTATTTCTGACACACAGAATTTTAAAATGCCAAATATATTTACATTAATTTTTTTTTAAGGCTCAGCATAGTGGCTCATACCTGTAATCCCAGCACTTTGGGAGGCTGAGGCAAGGGGATGGCTTGAGTCCAGGAGTTCAAGACCAGCCTGGGTAACATGGAAAAACCCCATCTCTGCAAAAAATACGAAAAATTAGCCATTGTGGTGGCATGTATGCCTGTAGTCTTGACTACTCAGGAGGCTGAGGTGGGAGAATCACCTGAGCCAGCAAAGTTGAGGCCCCAGTTAGCTGTGATGACACCATTGCACTTCAGCCTGGGCGACAGAGCAAGAACCTTCTCCAGAAAAAAAAAAAAAAAAAAATAGAAAGAGGCTGGGCACAGTGGCTCACACCTATAATCCCAGCACTTTGACTTTGGGAGACCAAGGCAAGAGGATCATCTGAGGTTAGGAGTTCAAGACCAGCCTGGCCAACATGGTGAAACCCCATCTCTACTAAAAATACAAAAATTAGCCTGGCATGGTGGCACACACCTGTAATCCCAGCTACTTGGGGTGGAGGGGGCTGAGACAGGAGAATTGCTTGAATCTGGGAGGCAGAGGTTGCAGTGAGTGTAGATGGAGCCATTGCACTCCAGCCCAGGCAGCAGAGTGAGATTCCATCAAGAAGGGGAGGGGAGGGGAGGGGAGGGGAGGGGAGGGGAGGGGAGGGGAGGGGAAGGGAGGGAAGGGGAGGGGAGGGGAGGGGAGGGGAGGGGAGGGGAGGGGAGGGGAGGGGAGGGGAGGAAAAAATGCTATAATCCTGTAAAAACTCCTCTGTCTCTGTCTACTTTGGAGTCAGTATTTCCAAGTTGTCTGTCCTCACACTTTGTGCTTGAATAAACACTCTTTAAATTAGATTCTAACCCTTTTGATGATTTTAGGTTGACATTCTGGTGACCCACAGATGGGCCCCAAGGCAAGCCTCCCACAGTCCATGCTGCTTTGCCAACGTTCTGAGCTTTGATACCCGCAGGCAGAGCTTTCACTCATCCGACCTCATCAGAGCTGGCGGGACTCACTGGCAGTTTCTCTTGGGTTTCAAATCTCCCTGGCTTTGGCTGAAATTTAGACTTTATTCAAGCACCCTGATTCCACAATTCCACACTCTATGGAGATTGAATGAAGCTCTACTTTTAAAAGTAGAAGTTTCAGGCCAGGTATGATGGCTCATGCCTGTAAACCTAGCACTTTGGGAGGCCAAGACTTCATATCTACAAAATAAAAATAAAATAAAAAATTAAAAACATTCACAATGTTGTAATACCATCAACGCCATCCATTTCCAAAATTTTTCATCACTCCAAACAGAAACTCTATGCATTACCCAATGACTCCTACTGCCCCCATTCTATATACTAAGTGCAATCACACACTCTACACCTTTTTGTGACTGGCTTATTCTTATTTCATTTAACATACCTCCTCAAAGTTCATCTACCACAGGCGTCCCCAAACTTTTTACACAGGGGGTCAGTTCACTGTCCCTCAGACTGTTGGAGGGCCGCCACATACTGTGCTCCTCTCACTGACCACCAGTGAAAGAGGTGCCCCTTCCTGAAGTGCGGCAGGGGGCCGGATAAATGGCCTCAGGAGGCCGCATGCGGCCCGAGGGCCGTAGTTCGGGGATGCCTGATCTATCATGTAGCATGTACCAGAAAGTTTCTCCTTATTAAGCCTGAATCGCATTCCATCGTATGTATAAACCACATATTTTGTTTATTCACTCCTCAGTTGATAGACGCCAGGGTTGTTGTCATCTTTGGGCTGTTATGAACAATGCTGCTATGAACACTCATGTAGAAAAATCTGTTTAAGTCCCTGTTTGCAAATTTTTTTTTTTTTTTTTTTAGAGACAGAGTCTCACTCTGTCACCCAGGCTGGAGTGCAGTGGCACGATCTCAGCTCATTGCAACCTCCACCTCCTGGATTCAAGTGATTCTCCTGCTTCAGCCTCCCAAGTAGCTGGTACTACAGGCGCCCACCACCATGCCCAGCTCATTTTTTGTGTTTTTAGTACAGACAGGGTTTCACCATGTTGGCCAGGCTGGTCTTGAACTCCTGACCTCAGGTGATCTGCCCACCTCAGTCTCCCAAAGTGCTGGGATTACAGGCCTGAGCTACCTCGCCTGACCCTTTTTCATAAAGAGATTGCCATCCGATTTTTTTCTAAAATAGAAATATAAAGTAAAAGTGCTTTGTAGCTGATGGTGATGAGGTCTAGGGAGTCTTTCTTCCTTCCCCCCTTCCACCTTCATCCTCCTCTCTCTCTCTCTCAGGTCAGGAAATGAGGAAGCCTATTTATCCGTCTAGAAGATGAGCCAGTAGGGAGGTGTCCTAGTTCAGGAGCTATAACAAAATACCTTAAACTGGATAATGTATAAACAACAGAAATGTATTTATTGCTCACAGTTCTGGAGGCTGGGAAGTCCAAGATCAAGGCAGCAGCAGATTTGCTGTCTAGTGAAGGCCTGTTCTTCACACATGGCACCTTCCCTGTGTCCTCACATTACGGGAGGGGTGAAACGGACAAACTCGCTCCCTCAAACCCTTTCATAAGGACACTGATCCCATCCATGACCCAATCACCTCCCAGACGCCCCACCTGCCAATACCATCACCTTGGAGCTTAAATTCCAGCCTGTGGATGTATGAGGGGCCACAACATTCAGACTATGGTGGGAGGGACATGGAGGGTGCTGCTTTGTGGAGTTGGGGTTCCAAAGTCTAGGAGGAGAGCTGCTCATGGGAGGAGGCAGAGCTGGGGCAGGGAAGATGAGGGCGTCTGGTTTTTCAAGGAAGCCCCTGGGATGTCATGGACTGACAGTGAGTTGTGGAGGAGGAAGTTGAGGAGAGAGAAGGGTTAAAAGAAGTCGTGTGTGTGTGTGTGTGTGTGTGTGTGTGTGTGTGTGTGTTTTGAGAAGGAGTTTTGCTCTTGTCGCCCAGGCTGGAGTGCAATGGCGCGATCTTGCTCACTGCAACCTCCGCCTCCCGGGTTCAAGTGATTCTTATGCCTCAGCCTCCTGAGTAGCTGGAATTACAGGCACCCATCACCACACACCACTATGCCCAGCTAATTTTTTGTATTTTTAGTAGAGACAGGGTTTTGCCATGTTGTCCAGGCTGGTCTCAAAATCCTGACCTCAGGTGATCTGACTGCCTCAGCCTCCCAAAGTGCTAGGATTACAGGACTGAGCCACCACACTCAGCCTAGAAGGGACATCTTGTCGGGGTGGGGTGGTATCGAGCCAATCAGAGAAACAGGTGAAGTGGAGGTATGTATCGGAGGTTCCCTTGCTGTGGGATGTTTCCAACAGTCCAGCTGCTACAGGGCAGAGGCTGGAAAGTCAGGGGCCTGGGTTCTTCCCAGGTGAGAAGATGGAGGGAAAGAGTGGCCAGCAAAGGAGGGGCTGCAGGGGAGTGAGAGAACAGGGGAGGGGGGGATCCTGGGCTCCATGGACCACATCACTGCAGGGAGGCACCTGCACTGCTCCCTCTTCCCTTCTGCAACCACGAAGCCAGTTACCGTCCCTCCCATCTCCTGCCCCTCCCACCCCTCCCCAGCTCCTGCAGCTCCCCACCTACTGTTTCCTCCCTCTCTCCCAATGTGCTGGGATTACAGGCATGAGCCACCACCCCCTGCCAGGAAACTTCTCTGCCCTTTTCTGTTTGTCTCCAGTCCAGATTTTCCTTCTGCCTCCCTAAATTTCCCTAATCTCTTTCACAGGTTCCTGTACTGCCCCTCCTTTTATGCCACTATCCCCCAGAGGCCTCCCCTGGTCTTCTGTCTCCTCACATCACAGCCTTTCCCAGGCCTTCCCCTGCTCAACCATTAATATGTCTCCCAAATTTCTCGCTCTCCGTAATTCAACCAGAACAGTTCTCCAACAGAAGTTCTCAGTGTAGCCTCCATCGAAATCATGTGGAGGATGAGTTCAGAGCCAGTGTGGCTGAACCCAATCCCCAGGGCTTCAGTAGGTCTGGAGTGGCTATAAGCGTAATAATTTTTTTTTTTTTTTTTAAAGGCAGGATTTCGGTATGTTGCCCAGACTGGTCTCAAACCCCTTGGTTCAGGCAATCAGCCCGCCTCAGCCTCCCAAAGCGCTGGGATTACAAGGGTGAGCCAGAATCCAGCCAAGATAATTTTCTCTTTAACTTTTTTTTAAGTTCAAAAGAATTGTTTACTTATTAGGTTAATTTTGCAATTAAATTGCAAAAACCGCAATTACTTTTCACCGACCTAATAGCTCGCCCACTATAAATACAGCGGATAAAGTCACTTTTTCCTCTAGGACCAAGCTCCGCTCTGCCTCCCGGTGGTGGCCTCAGGCACCGCGCTAAAATGCATGAACCATTTAAGGTATTTCCGGAAACTGAAGCGTGGCTGCCGAGACTTTATTTGCATACCCACAATGCATTGCACACAAAATAATTTTTGTCTTTAAAATCACTTTCTCCTTTTTTCCTTTAACCTATCTTTCCTGAAACCGAGATTGCTGTTCCGGAATTGTCTAAAGAAAAAGGCAGAAAGCAATATGTCTTTTGGACGGAAAGAATGTTACCATTAGCCTGTTAGGAGTAGCCGTTACCCGAGAACTGAGTGCCGCCCTATCAGACTCATACTCTGGTTTCTCTTCAGATCGTATAAATCTTTCGCCTTTTACTAAAGATTTCCGTGGAGAGGAACAACTCTGAGTTTCAAACTAATTTTTTGAGGCTTTGCTTTTTCTAGCAAAGCTTATTTTAGTGTTACTAATAATAGACGAAGTCTGTGTTTACTGCTTCTCGGAGAAAATGGTTCTCAGCAGAATCGGAGTAAGTTGTGCTTTAATATTTGAGTCTGCCAGGCAATACTTGAGTAGCGCCAGTTGTGGTGGCTTCGCTTTCCCATGCGGGAGGATTTGTTGTTTGACTATACGCGATCAGGTCCGCGGTAGTTGAGTTCCCGCCCCCGTCAGGTCAGCGGAGTATCAGATACGCGCTATTGCGAACTGTGCATGCGGTAGATCAAGGTGCGCGCGCTGCTTGGGAGTAAGCCTGATGATTTGAGGTTGGACAGTTTCAGTCTTAAATAGTCCACATCCTCCACCAACCTTTCCCCACTCTTGGAAAAATTTTCCACGAACTGGGTCCCTTGTGCCAGAAACATTGGGGACAGCTGGACTATACGATCAAATAAAGCAGGGACTCGGGGTGAGCTTTCCCCCGCTGCTCCTGCCGGCTTCTCCGTGTAGAATCGAAGAAGGCTGCCCCGAGGGTGCTTCTGCCCACCCAGTACCCCCACCTGGAGGAGCGGTGCCAGGCGCGCAGCTCGTCCTCTCTAGACCCAACCGGTTAAACTCGAGACCAAGTGAATTTTCCAACCACTCTTTCCAGCTGGCTAGGTCTCGGCCGCAAGGGAGACTGGGAAACGTAGTTCTGCCTCCAGGTAGCTGTGAGCCCCGCTAATGCTGGGAATATTCTAGGAGAGAGGGGTTGAATACGAGACAGGAAAACTAGCAGGGGCTCTGCCTGGTAAAGGAGGGAAGAATCCGTCGCAAAATATTCTGACCCAAGGCCGGCCTTGGTGGCTCACGTCTGTAACCCCAGCACTTTGCGAAGCCGAGGCGGTTGGATCACCTGAGGTCAGGAGTTCGAGACCGGCCTGGCCAATATGATGAAACCCCGTCTCTACTAAAAATACAAAAATTCGCCTGGCGTAGTGGCTTCACGCTTGTAATCCCAGCTACCTGGGAGGCTGACGCAGGAGAATCGTTCGGACCAGGCAGGCTGAGGTTGCAGTGAGCCGCGATCGCGCCACTGCACTCCAGAGCGATACTTAGTCTCAAAAAATTTGCAAATCAAAAAATTCCTGACCCCAGGCTCAGCTTCTGAGGCAGATGCCCACAGTCCAGCCCTGTCCGAGTGGCTCCAAACCGTAACACTCGAGCCCGTAAAGAGAGTGCTAAACGCTCTGAAACACGTTCCTCCTAGGGTCTGAGAGCTCAGTGCTACCAGTAACTGTCGCGTATATTGAGCCTCTCAGTCGTAATTATTGCGTGTCTATTTTCGAAACACTGAAATGAGCCTTGCTCGGAAGCAAGGCTTCAAAAAATTAGACTCACATGCATTCCTCGCCACGGTAAAAAAGGAAAAATTGAGGTGAATTGAAAAGAAACAGTTCTCCGATCATTGCTACTCCTAACACGGTAATGGTAACTTTCCGTCCAAAACAGATATTGACTTCTGCTGTTTTCTTAAGACGATTTCCTTTACTTCAATCAATTCCGGAATAGCAGTCTCGGTTTCAGGAAAGATAGGTTAAAGGAAAAAGGAAAGTCATTTTAAAGACGAAAACTATTTTTGTGTGCAATGCATTGTGGGTATGCAAATAAAGTCTCAGCGCTCACGCTCCTGTTTTGGCCAACTGGTGAAGCCTACGGACTCCTCGGAAAAAGGTTGTCTGTTGTTTTTGTTTTGTCTTAAATGTTGGATTTTTAATGTTTATGGACACATAGTATGTGTATGTATTTATGGGTTGCATGAGAAGAAGGTTTTTGTTTTGTGGTGGAGTCTCGATCTCCCAGGCTGGAGTGCAGTGGTGCGGCGCTGGCTCACCGCAACCTCCGCCTTCCGGGTTCAGGTGATTCTCCTGCCGCAGCCTCCCAGGTAGCTGGGATTACAGGCGTGCGCCACTGCCCCCGGCCCCCGGGAACGCCGTGTAGTCGCCTCTTTCCGAGCTTTTATTCTGATAGAAGCCCCAGCCTTTCTCACGAGCTCGTCTGCCCCATGCTGCGGTCTCCCGGGACAGCCACGGAGCAGTCACGCTGATCCTTGGCCCGGGTTTGCAGTGCTGCCCTCCGTGTGTGTGTTAGGGTTCTCTAGAGGGACAGACTAATGGGGTCTACGTGTATGTGAAAGGAAGTTTATTAAGGAGAACTGACACACAATCACAAGGTGAGGTCCCATCATATAGACCGTCTGCAAGTTAAGGAGCAAGGAAGCCAATGGTGCTCAGTCCCAGTCCCAAAACCTCAAAAGTAGAGAAGCCGCCAGTGCAGCCTGTAGTCTGTGGCCAAGGCCTGAGAGCCCCCGGCAAACCACTGGTGTAAGCCCAAGAGTCCAAAAGCCGAAGAACTTTGAGTCTGATGTTCAAGGGCAGGAAGCGTCCAGAACCGGAGAAAGATGAAGCCCGGGGACTCAGCAAATCGGCTTCTTCCATCTTCTGCCTGCTTTTTCCAGCTGTGCTGGCGGCCGATTGCAGGGGGGTCTTCCGGTCCCAGTCCACTGACTCAAATGTTAAACTCTCTGGCAACACCCAGAAACACCCAGATACACCCTGAAACAATGCTTTGTACCCTTCAAAGCAATCGAGTTGACACTTTTTTTTTTTTTCTAAGATGGAGTTTCACTCTTGTTGCCCAGGCTGGAGTGCAGTGGCATGATCTCAGCTTCCTGCAACCTCAATCTCCCAGGTTCAAGTGATTCTTCTGCCTCAGCTTCCCAAGTAGCTGGGATTACAGGCACCCACCACCATGCCTGGCTAATCTTTTGTATTTTTAGTAGAGACAGGGTTTCACCATGTTGGCCAGGTTGGTCTCAAAACTCCTCATCTCAGGTGATCCACCTGCCTCGGCCTCCCAAAGTGCTAGGATTACAGGCGTGAGCCACCGCGCTTGGTCAAGTTGACGCTTCATATTAATCATCACAAGGTGTTAGAAGAGGTAATGATTTCCGTAAGTGACCTCTCTTTGACCTTTAGCAAGTCACTCTCTTTCACCGGGGCTCCGTTTGTACTTTGTAAAATATGGTGACAAAATTTTTCTTTGGTTTTCAGGGAAGCTGTAGATTGGTTAAAATTCTGACAGTAATCAGGGAGAAGGGATACGTCCATAGGAGGAATGATGATCACTAATGTCATTGTTGCCGTGAATCAAAGCCAGAGCCCACCGTTTGTCCTAAGAGGTCAGTGATTTGGACAAAGAAACCCAATTATTGGGTGGGCACAGTGGCTCACACTTGTAATCCAACACTTTGGGAGGCTGAGGCAGGAAGATCGCTTGAGTCCAGGAGTTTGAGGCCAGCCTGGGCAACATGGTGAGGCCCCATCTCTACAGAACATTTTTTAAAAATTAGCTGGGTGGGCCGGGCACGGTGGCTCAAGCCTGTAATCCCAGCATTTTGGGAGGCCGAGGTGGGTGGATCACAAGGTCAAGAGATCGAGACCATCCTGGTCAACATGGTGAAACCCCATCTCTACTAAAAATACAAAAAATTAGCTGGGCATGGTGGTGCGTGCCTGTAATCCCAGCTACTCAGGAGGCTGAGGCAGGAGAATTGCCTGAACCCAGGAGGCGGAGGTTGCGGTGAGCCGAGATCGTGCCATTGCACTCCAGCCTGGGTAACAAGAGTGAAACTCCGTCTCAAAAGAAAAAAAAAAAAAAAAAATTAGCGGGGTGTGGTGGCATGCACTTGTGGTCTCAGCTACTCAGGAGGCTGAGGTGGGAGGATCACTTGAGCCCAAGAGGTTGAGGCTGCAGTGAGCCATGTTTGCACCACTGCACTCCAGCCTGGGAAACAGAGAGAGACCTTATCTCAAAATAAAGGCTCCCTGGCTTCCCTACAGCCACCCACCTCTGCATTCATTCACTCAGGCTCTCCACTGCTTAGCTTGGCTGACTCCCATCATCCTTCAGGTTCCAAATTGGAGGCTTCACCTTCCTCCAGGAAGCCCTCTCTGACTTTCAAGGGGAGGTTAGATGTCCCAGCTCTATAGTCCCACACCCTGCCTGCAGTATCACCATCGTTTCTCGTCTCTCTGTCTCTCCTGCAGGCTGCATTCGCTGAGGTATGCCTATGATGTTCCCCTTTGTGTTCTAGTCAAAAAAGATTCCTCTAGTCTGGCCAACATAGTGAAACCCCATCTCTACTAAAAAATACAAAAATTAGCCGGGCATGGTGGTGCCCACCTGTAGTCCCAGCTACTTGGGAGGCTGAGGCAGGAGAATCACTTGAACCTGGGAGGCGGAAGTTGCAGTGAGCCAAGATCGCACCACTGCACTCCAGCCGTCTGGAGTCCTAGAGAGGATGCCATCTCACGCCAGGGCTGAGCTCTCAACACCAGGTTAATGAGCCTGGAAGTAAGTGCCATCCACCAATGTCCCGCCTGTCCTTCAGAGGCTTCTCAAGCCTACCTTGCCCAGAGATTCTTCGGATGAAAAGGAAAAACGTCCCAGCCTGGCAGGCATTGATGCTGCTTCTGGAAACATAGGCAGGTGGCTATTTCCAAAATGTGTCTGCCATCACTTGGGCTAATAGTGGGAGCATCTAGTTTTGGAGCTGGACAGACTTGGGGATGCCTCCACAGATTCTGACTTTGGCTTAATGACTTGTCATCTGGGAGCCTCACTTTTCCCATCTGGAAAACAGGACTGACACTCACCTTGCAGGAATCCTGGAGGTCTGTACTGTGCTGCCAAGCACCTGTTCTCCCTCATCCGTGGTAACAGAACCCACCAGTTCCTCTGGGAAGCTGCTCCTCTCCCATTAGTGTCTGCTCAGTGGTTGGAGGCTGATGCTACCCCAGCTCTGAGATGGCCTGATCAGCCTACCCTAATTAGCATATCCCCTTCACCCTGGCCACAGTGATTGACTCAGAGCTGTGCTGTGCAGAGGTGCGTCTCAGCTTTTTGGATAGGAACACGAGGACTTGGATTCCACTGGGTTTAATGCTAGGAGGGCATCAAGCTTATGATAACTG